CATACGAAACTGTTCGCATAAAATCTAAATTTGAGAAAAAATTTCTTTCTTTACATCAACTATTTTTAAAACAATTAGTAGTCTTTCTTTGGTTAATATGTTCAAAATAGCTTATGAACTTAATCTATGAAGTTGGGGTTCGCCTAAGAAGGGCGATCATTTAGGGAAGGGAAGCACAGAATATAGAGTGGGGGGGGGGGGGGGGCATTATCATAATGCTGTAATTATAAAAATGCTAGAAATACTTAGATTTTATTTGAAATTTATTTGAATAAGTTACAAGTGTGTAATTGATTTTTAGCTTCTGTGCAGATAACAAAAATAATTAATGTGAACAAAAATTAAACAATTATACTTAGATGAAATTGTGGTAAATTTATAAAGGCATTGGCATATAACAAAAAAGATACTTAAATTTACATTCATCTTATAATTCGGAACAGTATTACATTAACGTGATGGCGGTTACTAGAATTTTAAAATTATTTATTTATTCATTCTTATCTACTTGCGTAATTTTCTTTTCTCCTCTTTTAATTAGTTTATAATTAAATTTATTTGACTACAAACTTCGATCCCATTGCATAAATGGAACTTTCATATTTGAAGCTAATGTTTCACATTCTGATTCTTTGAGAAAGCCCGTAAATTAAATTTGTCAGTCTTTTTCTTTAATAGTTTTATAAATATTTTAGACAGTTCAAGGGTCAAGTTAAAAGGTTTAGGGGATCAGTTTTGACCCACAGGTTATAGGTTGTGCATACCTGATTTAGGGTTTCAAAGGCGAAAGAAAAAAATAGGAACCGTTGCTCTATAGCAGTGTTCCCCAATTTTTTTATCATCGCGGACCTGTCAACGTTTGATAATTTTACCGCGTACCGTTGGAGGGGGTGGGGACGTTGATTGTTTATATTTTAGATTATTTTGATTTATTAATTTTAATTCAATTGTATTTAAACATGCCTTCATAATAAAATACAGTTGCACCAAAAAATAAATATAAAGTGATTTAACATTTTAACTTACTAGAACGTTAAATCAATGAGAACCATGAACTTGTTTTTTTGCAATAAGATGGTTCCATCTTGGGGTAATCGGAGACAATGATACATTACAAACACTAAAAAAAAATTATTTTACTACCATGGGGGGAGGGGGCTTTTTTTTAAATAAATAAAATTTAAATGGAACGCAGATATTTTTAATTTGGGGTATAAACCTAGGAATTTAAATTCAGTTTCAATAAAATGGGCGGCCCGGTACCACTTGATCCACGGACCGGGGGTTGGGGAACACTGATCTAAATGAACTATTAACGATAATCTTGACTAGAAAAACGTTTATTTCATTTTTTTATGCAGTTTGTTAAAGTTGTATTCAAAATTATGTATTTCATTGAATTGTTTTAAATTTTTCAAACCGAAAGTGAAGTTTATGTTTGAATTTCAATT